TGTTCCAGAATCTGTCGGAGGGTGAAGATATGGTTGATGCAACCACTTGCAGGACGGAACCCAGCCTGGTTTTCACGGACCCCCCTCTCCCTGTGTTCAGTCAACCTTCGAAGGATAAGGCCAGAGAGCACCTTCGATGCCACAGCTAACAGGCTGATGCCACGGTGGTTTCCACATAGCGTCCGCGTACCCTTTTTCAAGATAGGGATAACTGTTGATATACCCCATTCTGCAGGCACTTTCTCTTCGCCCCACATAGTACCAATAAGATTTGTCAGGTGGGTCACCAGGAATTTTTCGCCTTCTTTGAGGAAGGTTGGATACAGATCATCCGGTCCTTGTGCCTTCTCACGTTTCAGTACGGCTATTTCGTACCTTCTTTCCTCTTCTGAAGGGAGACCAAGGTTTACATTCCATTCGCCCCTATGCATTATCTCCACCGGCTGTGTTGGAGGCCAGCTGAACTGCTCTTCGAAGTATTCGGCCCATCTCTCCAGTCGACGTTTTTGCGAGTGAATTAATGAGCCATCTTTTTCACTTATCGTTCCACTGACCGCTGCTTTCCTAGGGCCAGTCGATCGTATCAGTTGATAAAGGGCACGGCTGTTTCCCGTAGCAAAAGCCTTCTCCATCTCCCGAGCCTTCGATATCCACCAGAGCTCTCGCTCCTGCGCAAAATAGGATCATCATGGTGCATAATTTGACAGAATATTCGACCCCAAAGTAATACGTTTTCCGATTTCTGTTTATAGCAGCTCCGAAATAAGATTACAGAAGTCTTACCTCAACAGACAACCCCCTAAAATGACCGAGAAAACCGAAAACTTCTATCAGCAAATGCAATAACGCGGTCAGAAAAGCACTTGCCCCTCCAACCAGTTTGAGATAATTTTTCTAAGTGTCACACAAGACAGTGGAACCTCGATCGTAAGGAAGTGGAAGGCCATCGTACCCGATTCGGAAATAGGAAGTGAAATTTCAAGGAACCAGGAGAATATAGTGGAGACGTGCTACTGGCGGGGGGTAGTGGGATAATGCATGCATAATGACCTGAAGAAAGGTACCAACTAAACTGTCCACTTATCATGTATGAACTCAATCAGAGTCGCATGAAGAACAGGGGTTTGATAGGTGAGATGAAGAAAAGTCGCGGGGGGCTCATTTGACTTCCAGTATGACTGTCGACCGAATAGGTGGACTGGGTTATCGAGCTTACCTTCTTCTAAAGCAGGTGAAGAGTGATTTTACGGCTTCTTTTGTGTCACGTGCACATTCAAGATAACTTGTTTGGTTACCGGGAGCCCGCTTGGTAGGGTGCATGAGGCGGGCATAAGCCAGTGAACAATTGGCGGAAAGTTCATTCCTCACACGAAAAGGAGTGTCTAAATCTCGAACCGGTAGTAGGAGCTTATTGCGATCTTACTTCAGCTGACAAGATGTACATTCCGTATGCGTTTTTCTGTATTCCGCATAGTCACCTAGCACAGCATCGATTGGCCAAATAGGTGAGCTATGTACAGCCTCAGTATATTTCCCTCATAAACAATATACGATCGATGTTAGCTGATTTTGGATAATGCGCAGAACATAAAGTAATGGGGACAAACGCTTTTGGAGTTTGCAAATCGTTCAGCTGTAGCACCCTTTTGGTGCCTAACTGCAATGCCACACGTAGGAGGTACCAGGGCTGGGATACTGTCAGGTTGCCCAAGCTTGGACAGGGGAGGTCGAGGGGTCGGGTTCGAACCACGGACCTTCCGGTCAGTAAATTCACGCTCTAGTCACTCGAGCCATTTCGCCCAACATACACTTATTTGGTTCTCACGGGAGACCCAACTGAATCTCTCGTTTATGATGTTCTTAGTCAATTGAATGTGTCGCGCCAGCCGCCTTAGGTTTCAGTTGGTACGATGCGCCACAATCGTTGTCGTAAAGTCCCCAGCAGCCTTATAAGCAGTGGGTCACGTCTATACAGCGTTGAGTTTGTTTAACGGCAGACCGTCGTGTTTTAAAAGTGGTATTCTATCGTCTGACTGTACAGTGAAGAATCGTTCAGAAAAGAAAAGCGGATGGCAACCTCTAACGTGTGATAATCCGCAGAAAGCAACGAAACAAGCGGACATGGAAGGTACTCCGTGTTTGGGAGACTACTGTCATTTTGAAACTGTTGTAACCACACTTTGGAAAAAATTTGACCGCCCACCTGTTCGTGAAAATCCTCCACCGTGAATTGTGTGTAGCCGAATGAAATTAGAGCATCACGGCACTCGTCACATTTCGATTTCAAACTGCAATATGAGAGCAAAGTGAAATTGATTATGATCAGTAGAAGCCGATTGCAACTGAGTGATGATAATCCCCAATGATTGCACACCACAAAGATCATATGAATGGAATAATAATCTGAGGGAGACTGATGGTCGTTTTCCCCCATCTGAAGAAACTGGTCAGGAGGGGAGCATACATGGACAATGCAAGCTAGTTAAGAAAAAAAAGAAGGCTGAGAGAAAGCCGTAGGACACGGCCATCAACGAGTATTACCTTGAGGACTGATCAGTGACTTGTCTGTGGTCAAAAGCACAAAACGTAGTACGGTCTACTTACCGTTCAGCCTGCTTGAGCCTTTTCCCGTTCAATAGGTATTCGATGTAGGCAAAACCAAATGCACGGTAGAAGCAATTGCCATCACGTCGAAGTCGCCGTATTCCTGTGTATTTCTTCTTCAAGAGCTATAACGTGTCCACAGGAAATTTTGGATTTAGTTTAGTTGAGTTCATCGAGCCACGGATCAAACAACCTCTCTGTTATCGAGATTACGCTAAAACGACAGTCAAGCAGTCAATGAACATAGCTAGTTGAGCAGAGCGGTGTCCATTTCCGGAATAACAACGGGAATATCTGCGACAAAGACTAATCGGATAAGTAAGCGAGTAAGTGGCTAGATTGTAGACCCATAGTTAGTGTACGGCAGTGGTCCCCCAACCGAGGAATTGTGTTAACTTCTGAATGAGTAAACAATCATAGTGTGACAAAAAGCCTGATTTTGAGTGGATGGGACCTTCAGAGAAGTGACCGGTCAGAACCGCTTTTATCTGCCCTACTGTGAATGACTGCTGCTCCCCAAAACACTATTTGCAGAAACAATAACGTATCGAACGGGGAAAATTGCACCACGACTACCAAGCGAGATTGACCGAGAAGGAACATAGTTACCAGAGAAACGGAGTCTGGTCTACCAACATTATTGACTGGTGATTCTTGATCATTATGCATATCCATAGCGATGAGCTGGCAGACACATAAGGCCTTTGGTGCGTTTTCCAAAGGTTTCATTCATTAGTTGTTCCACATGGTGAATGTTTGTACACTCAGGTTCGTTTAGCCCACAGACAGATTTCAATCTTCTGTTCTCTGCCTTGGCGGTTAGGACAGCCTCAGCCCCGTTGTTATTTCGCTCACTGGGCTGAGCGAACGAACGGCCATTCGCCGCACAACCTGAATCATCAATAGACGTAATACACTATTCATAAGGTTGCCGGGAATTCTTCAGCACGAGAGCAGAGATACTGCAAGGTTGCCCAAGCCTAGACAAGGAAAGTCGAGATGTAGAGGTCGGGTTCGAACCAAGGACCTTCCGGTCAGTAGAATCGCGCCTTAAACACAGAGGCATCCGCATTCAGGGTACCGCTGTCAAAAATATGGTACTAAGGCAACTTCCTCAGGACTTATGATTACTACTGGAGTGATGTGATAAAGTCTGTCCACCACTAAGTTTGCATGGAGAATTGGGAGAAAACGAAGTTTCGAATTTCGACAGGAAGCTCAATTGAATCCAGCTAAAGCCCTCATTCAGGATGGTCCGCTTGAACTGAATGTGCTGCACCAGGCCGCCTCGTGTTTCAGTTAGCACGATATTCTAGATATCACAATACACTGCCTAGCCATAACACACTACTCGTAAAATCGCTGAAAACTCTTCGGCAGCCCACGACCGATTTCGCCTTTGTTGGAAATGGACTAGCATAAACGAGACAGACGGATCCAGTTGAGTCCCCTGTCAAAAAAAAATTCATCGGAATATGTCCAATTTTGGTCCAAGTAGAACGTAGGGTTGACAGAAATTCGGGGACTGCGCGCCTACCTGATGAGCCCCAAGAAGGGTGAAACAGGCAGTGGTATGTCAGAGTTTTAGCGATCTTATGAGTAGTGTGTTACGCCTGGACAAAAATAACGTATTGTTTTTGGCTGGGTGGCAGTAAAACCATGTACGCCCATACCCAGTCAATACTTGTTGCTCAAGGTTGCGTGCAGTGTAGAACACTATGAGAATACAGGAGAAAAACACATATAGAGGGGCAATTGTAAATTTTTTAGCATGTCGACTAATCGTTTGATCACCTCTGGAGACTCCACAGGCTCTTCACACAATGATACGTTGAGTGACAACGAAAAAACCTTGACTACTTTGTGATGTTGCTTCATTTTGACATAATCAACTCACTTAGGCTGACTTAAGATGAAAAGCTATGCAGCAATGTTCTCTGCACAACTCACTACTCACCGGTCACGTCCCGACAAGAGATCCTCAGTGGTTCCTCTCTATGAAATGATCATGTTTTGATGGTTTGCAAAAATTCTGAGGATATTACTTCGGATGGAATGACGTTGATGAATTTTTTTGTTCACACACGAACCAAAAAAGTGGAATTCCGATTTCACAGACGTGTTACGCATGTTAGCGTGCACGTCGGGGCGAGATGGCTCAAGCGGTTAGAGCGCGAATTTACTGACAGGAAGGTCCGCGGTTCGAACCGGACCTCTGCCTCTTGACTTCCTCTGTCCAGGCTTGGGCAACCTGGCAGTATCCCGGCCCTCTTGCTTCCTTCAGATAGCATGGCAGCTAGAAACCGGAAGGGTGTTACAGCTGACGATTATTATTACTATATATATAGCGTGTACGTCACCATTGACGATGAACTATGTGGCTGCGTGTCCGAGCCAAGGAAACGATGCTTTAGGCAGTCCGGATAGAAACTAACAGCAAGAACGCCACTTCCGTTGGCAGCCACATCTTGCGGTGCCTCCAACCAGGCGCAGTAAGGATCACGCGGTCCCCTGCCTGGAAGGCGAGTAGCACCAACAGCACCCAAACGTTTCGTAAGCTCCTTCATAACTTCTTCATCGCTAGAGACAAAACGCGCAAGCTCAACCACGCGTTTGACATGACGATAATAAAACCAATCTTGGAAGTATGACACTTTGCATTCACAAGTAGTGATCCTCACGAGGTGGACGGCCCGTATTTGGAACTGCAAAGCCTAATAGAACAACGACCAGTGGAACAGCTGTTGCATTCAGGTTGAGCCAGTTGGTTCTGGAGTTCCGTCCAAATTTGAGATGTTGAACAGAAGCATTTCAAGTCGAGTCATTTGCTTGGAACTGTTCGCACAACGTCATGAACCTGTGAGCGTAGCAAGCCAACATTCAGGTTTCTCGATTGCCGAGCTTCATGAGATATAACGCCAACCGAATTGGTACAAGGGAAACCTTTGTGTACCTTAGAAGACTGGAGAGTGCTCATCACAGCAAACCAACGCGAATAACCAAATTTTTGCAAAAATACCAAGAAATACGTTGATCAAAACCATAGCCTTGCATGATACCTCCGCAACTTTTTCAAACTTTGAGTGCTACGGAGAAAATTGCAATTTTGTGATAGTACATTAAGCCAACTCAATTACGCTGCTTGTTTGGCAAACGGGTATATAGCTTGTAAAATGATGCAGCAACTTCGTGAAGTAGTTGAATTCCGTTGGCCCGTACAGGCTATAGCCCCGCAAAATTAGCGTCACAGGAATCGACGGTTATAGGCCGTTCGGACTAACCCTTATCATCAAGTCCATCTCTCAAATTGCCAGCTCTGGGGCGAGATGGCCCAGTGGTTAGAACGCAATTTACTCACCTGAGGATTCGTGGTTTCAACCAAACCTCTGCATCTCGAGTTCCCCCGTCTACACTTGGGCAACGTGGCAGCGTCTTAGCCCTCGAGCTTTCTTCGGGTGGCATGACAGCTGGGCACCGAAAGGGTGTTACAGCTGAATGACTATTTCTTTTTAATTATATTTCCGTGGGACACATTTTAAGAACAGTTTTTTAGAAGAGTCTACATCCGGCAGCGTCACTACGGAAGAGCAACTGAATTCACGAGAGGGTCCTCCTAAGAAATGGTTTCTTTCCACCAAGATGTAGTTCATTGTCGAATCCCCAACAAAATCCTATAATTTCCAAGTTCAAAACATGGCGACATCTCCTGAACGGTGCAGGTCCACTGCTTTGCCAATGTCTTTGCGGATAGTCGTCATCCTTTAAAGGTCCGCTTCGGCTGACCTCCCCTAAAGACCAATTTTAGTCAGTCCTCTAACCAAAGAGGGGCAACCAAACTAGTACCAGGCAGATGGAAATCATGCTTCGGGACCTCCGACCATCGTTGATGGAAACTTAGCTGTAACACGATTGGTCAGACATACACTTGGTACCGAAATTCCAGAAATCTCAGCGCCTGTGATTTTCATACCAGTATTTCTTATTGGAAAATTCTCCTCGATGAACATGTAGAATGATTCCTATTTGAAATTGGAGGTGGCCTGTTAAAAGATATTGATTTTAAGTCATGAACAATGGGGCCGTACCCAAGTGGCCTTAGTTTGGAGCTGGTTTCTTTTCGGGTGGAACGTTATGGGAGACTTCAACCACAACCATAAGGAACTCCAGGCAGTCGATAATGAAGCCAAATATCCTAAAGTACCGCTGCGCCGTTTTGTTGTTGAGAAATGCGGTCGAATCCAGTAGCAGTTAAGGGTAAACAAGCCCCAGTTGTCATCTTTAAAAAATGCGTACCCCCGCTTAGATGCGAGGATTTAGAAAATCCGGACGATCCATCAGTAGTGAAAAAATAACAAGGCAATGAATAAATACTTTGTTTTTTGGATGTCGAGGAGTGAATGAGACGGAGGGGCTAGGAGTCATTGTGAGCTCCAAAAGGATTACACACAGACTACTCACGAAATCCTGAGTAGCAAGATATTGTACATACGTGCATAAAATCACCGGTCGAACGATATCCACAGAAGTTCAATGACTGACAACACATAGGAAAGTGTTCTATCGGCAGGGGGCAGGTTGCTTTCGAAGAGCTTAAAATTAATCACTTATTCCAGTGAAGAAAAACGCCACACAAATCTCAATGATTTGCCGGTTTTTCCCGATAACGGACCACTGCCATTTGTGACTCTTCCACCTTATTACTTGACGCAATTTTTCACACGTGAGGCGTCTGTTTGATGACCAGTATCTTGTTGTCAACGCTAACCATGACTGTCCCTTACCTGACTTCCAGAAAATGTGGCAAAAAGGAAGTACAGTGGTAGCGTTAATTGTTTTTTTACCAGGTATGTGCTCACAGAGCTTGGCAATTAGCTCGCAAAGGTTTCCTTACCATACTGGGAGATATGGTGAGTGTGCACAGCGACGATTCGAAATCATTCGAAAACGAGCGCCCCCAAACTGACAGAACACTTTCTAATTTTTTGGACAGCGAAAATCTCCTCTTCCTCCGTTGCGTTTGGACATACGTAAACAATGTCTTCGAGAAAGGCTGCTCACGGCAGAAAAAACGTCGGATTACGACGACTTATTCCACTACGCTGCTTTTGACCTTGAAAATTTCATAAAATGTCTTGCTACTCTTAGTCATATGAGTAGTCTGACTTAAATTCGCCATGTGATCAACAGTTTTGAGTTAAGTCCTCCAGTCCTGCCCACAGTCCGACATCCAAAGAATAAGAAAATATTCCCTCATTCACTTGTTATCTTTTAGTGTTCATTAAATCGATATCCTCGCTCTAAACGGGAGGGAGCATTTTTTGAGGTGACACTATTGGGGCTCATTTGTTTACCTCAGTCGGTGACGAAGCACTTGCAAGCGAATTGGAAAGCTCAGTGTGCTGATCAACTGCCACCTGATCGACAGCCGCTTAGTGCACCTGAGCTACCATTATTTGGACGGATTGTCAAGTGCCGTTTTCTCGGTTGAGGGGAGACTCTCCTAGAATTTCTAATTGATATTTCATCCTTTAAGTGAAGCTAGTCTATACTGAAGAGCTGAGAAGCACTGTGTGGCCATTTCATGCTTCTGGGAGGGGTCGTCAGCAGTGCCTATCTCACGAAACTCCAGGGAGCTTCAAAACCTGGGACCCCATGGATGGTAGTTCGAGCACTACCAACAGTCTATAGGTTTCTCACAAGACGAGTGAAATTTCCATCTGAGAAGTTGCCATCCAAGGAACCGGGCAACACGTGATGAAGGCAACACGTGACTGAAGGATGACGAAACTCCTGGCCGGAGGTTGGCGGGCTCAAGACTTCCTGAAGTTTCATGAGGTGCACACTGCCGATTATTTCCAATAAGGATAAAACGGCTAAAGAGTGCTTCCCGGTACAAATTGGCTCCATCTACCGGAGGATATCTCAGTTGAATTGTGCCATTCTATTAATTCGATAGCTTTAGCCCACTGCCTTCGTGACAGCCAGTAATAACGTGCCTTGTAAACTGGTAGGTGACAGAGTGGCGACAAGAATACCTGGCCACTCCCTACGTATCGTAGCCTAACAATAAAATCGCGTCTCTAGATGGTCAACGCAAGCTTTCAGTAAAGGCTTAGCGTTTCGCTCGTATTGAGCCCCATTCGCAGTGCACATCTTTGGCCTCGCTGGTATGTGAACCTCAGACACATGCGAGGTGAGCGTCTGACTACTACTTGATAAGTTGTAAGCTAAATCTGACACAGGCGATGGGCGGCATCATTTCATTCGTGGTCTTGTTTCCTTGGACTAGCTGTGCGCCACTCACAGAATTCAAGAAATGGCGTCTCGAATAGAGATGGAGCCGTAATATAAAAGATCCTTCAAGTCAAGATCCATGAGTGTGCTCAGTTATGGGAATATGCCGCAACTCGGTAGAATACCAGTGCGATTCGCAAATGAGTGCAATCCACCGATACGACTTGGCGTTCAAAAACCCCGACCTAGAGAGCCAGTCGCACAGACAGCACCCAGACTAGTTATGATCTCTTTCATACCCCTCTCCCAGATGAAAGATTGGCCACCTCTCTGCTTGCTACTCTCTCTCTCTGCTACTCAGAAGTAGACACGGAAAATAGCACTCTTTTCGATAAACGAAGATGCGGCATGTGTAATACATGACCAAATCACCGCGGCTCTTGGATCTAGGCATATTCTTCAGTTATAGTCCCTGTTGCACAACCGAACAACTGTTTTGTAATTGTTTCCATGCGGATTTGTCTACATCAGCGTACAGACTACGGTACTGAGACAGCGGCGTTCGAAGACCTGAAGGCGTCACAGAACCGCTGCTCGCAGAGGTCAAGTCTCACATTCATCCGACAAAAACAGTCCTGTAGCCAGATACACACGTCTATTGAGATTTAAGGGTGTCGCTTTGCTGTCGTGTCTCAAATTAGAAAACGTGATCCGAGCATTGGAGATTCGTGCATTGATCTCATCTGTCACACTACAATCGGAGCTAATACAACTTCTAAGATATGTAATACGCCCCACAACCCCTTTTGGGTCGTGATAGCATGTTCAGTGACTGCATGTCCACGAGAGTGAAAAATGCACACCAAAAGGGCAGAACGACTCTGACCAGTCTGTCCCAAGACACCGTGCACTCTTTTCCCTTGTGAAGAGAACACAGTTGTATGCACATTCGAAATCGATAAAGTTTGCGTTTGGGTTTTGTAAACCCTCTAGTGTTCGTCATATTACATAGTCGATCATGAGAATGAATAGAAATAGATAAAACGGGGCAAAACTGTCTCACAACGGGTTGTAACAAAGCTCCTACAAGTCTGGATACACAAAGAACTTATTAGATTCATAGACTTCTTGGGTACTGAAATCTGGAAAAGGCCAGATATTCAAACCAGAATAACTAATCATCCGATCCTAGAAGCACTGCACCATACCAGCCCAGACAATTAATATTAAAAGGCGAATGGCTATATCCTCTAGTTGAGTTGGGAAGTTGGACCCACTATTCATAACAAAAAGAGGGCTGCATACAAAACCAACCTCCAGTTTTTCAAGGTAGACAGGATGTCCAGAAAAGTCTTCGTCAAGGGTCGTGAGGGGTAAGACTTCCGAAATTAGTGGGGAGCTGGCTTTTATCTGAAACAAGAAACCAGTTGGGCAGGCTCGTAACTAGGAAAAACATACATCGCTTTCGATAGCCTCCTGCTGTGCGAGTGTCGCCTCATCCGAATGTAGAGCGTCTTTGCCTTCAACAGAGTCCAGTGCTGCGGTTTCTGTTGATATGTCGGAATAGTTAACTATTCAGTTCATTGGCTTACTTACCTCTGACCATCACAGCCGTGCACGTTAGTTTTGTCTAGTGGGTACGTCAGAAATCATAAATATATCCGACTTCCAAACCGTTAGCACACCAATCAGACTGAAACCAAGAAGGACTCTGAAGTCAGCCTATATTTGGACATATGATTCTGAAGAACTTTGTCAAACAGCTGCAAAAACTCAGTACCCTTTGAGGTTTAACTTGAGGGCTAAGGCACTTAGTATAGATTGTTTCATCCTCTGTTTTCACTCGTCCTGTACCTTCCATCCAATTTCTCCTATCCACATCAGGTCAGGGCAAACAAAGCACTCTGGGGAGCTGAGTTTGTGAAGGTTATCCAGACCAACGAAGCTACGGAAGCGTCCGCCCTATAGCTGCTGCGCTGGATACGTTACCGGGCTTCTGAACTACTAACCGTCAAATGAGAGATGCTCCACAAACGGCGGAGGCCGACTGCTAACAGCCGTCGGATGCCATCCGATCGAAGTCATGGCTGGTGGATGGATTGACCAGGAACTTTACATTTTGGTGAAGGACATCCCACATCAATAAACCCCCACCATTAGCTTGTTCAGGATACTTTGTACAGTGTGTAAACGATTCTCAAAATAAACAATGGCATATGCGTAATATGGTGTACGGATTCAGCTTCCGGGAGTTCAGTGTCACCGTTTTGTTGATTCCGGTGACAGGCCCAAAAGAGGTTGTCACACACGAAGTTGCACAAACAAAACATCGGAATGGTACATCCATGGCGCACAATGCTGGGTAATTAGAGACACAAAGATGACTATTTATACTCATATTCATCCGGAAATTCCATCCACAGAATATTTACGCATTTCACGCACAATTCGTTTATTGATTTCTTTGCGTCCAGTCGAACGGAGCCAACAAAATATTTCCTCTCTGGAATGACATTTGAGGTAGCAATCCAAAGAACTCCAACCCTGAGTCGCTATGCCTAGCGGTGTTCCCCTAGGCTCCGTACCCGATCCAATGCCATTCGCCAATTATTTATCTGTGTTGTTCCGCTGGCCATGCCTGGTATAGGTCGACGACCTCAAAATATGGAGAGTAATCAAGACCAACACCACCCCGATATGAATCATGACCTTGAGGAACTGTAGGATTGAAGTGGAGTAAATTTTTGGCCCTCACCAGTCCACCTACAGGCAAAAATCACAGTGCTTCGGGTCGCCATGATGTAAAAAAGGTGAATTCCCTCTTCTACCCTATCCCACCCCAATCGGAATGCTCTTTCCGCCGATCCCAGAATTAAGACTGGTCAATTTGTTCTCCGCGCACCACGCTCAGCTGCAGCTGGATATACCGGCTTGGGTAGTGTATTGGGCGACCGAGCGGAAGTGTCCCCAATTGACTAGATACCCGTTGATAGTTACCTTTGCGTGATTCGTTTGGCATTGTCTGTGAAAGTACCTCAGGAAAGCAACATTGATTTCACCCTGTCTACTTACGCCCCAACGGACAGTACCTCTGGATTTACCAAAGACATTTTTTATGACGCTCTAGATGTTCTTTTACGACGGGCAAAAAGCTCAGGCATCGTTGTGGCTGCTCATCAGCCCCGAAGAGACTGGACCTTACTCTGGTGTGTACCTCGGCGACCCAATGAGCTATACCGGGGGGTCCGCGCGACACTCGTAGTCTCTCATACCAGGCTGGTCGATGGTCTTAAAAGTCCCAGTGTTCAGATCATTGCTAGTGAATCCTGTCTCCATGTTTGAAGACAAAGAAGCATAAGCCCTACTGAATAGACTGATCACTACCTTTCGGCATATGTCTTGCAACTTTAAAGTGCAAGGTAATGCTTTAGAATGCGTAGTCTCTGAACATATCCCTTGCAATTCAAGTGGAATCCTTGGAGGTTGTGGTGAATTTCACATACCACCGTAGTTGCATTAGCTCTGACAGAAGTGTGTGATGAAGTCAGCGTACGAATCCCAAAGACCAGAATAGCGTTCACTAATTCGCGTCACTTGTGAGATCAAAAACGCTTATCACTTGGTCTCAAGGGTGGCGTTTAGCAAGCTACAGTAGAGGCTGTAATGTTGTACGGTGGCGAAGTGACGCCTCTTCAGCTTTTAGAACACCGATGCCTGGGAAGCGTTGCTGGTGTCGAATGGCGTCAACGGATTAGTAGCAAGAAGATTATAAAACGGGTACTTGGTTGCGTGGTAGGTACTTCAATCGCGGAAAACATACAGCGCCGTCGACTGCGATGGCTCGAACCTCTGCTACACATGCCCAAACACTGTCTAATGAGACTATTTTGGTTCTCTGTGCCTTCTTAAGAATGGCGGAAACCGCCAGGTGGACAACGTATGACTTGACAGAAGGGTGTGAAAGGGAGCGGAGAGTTTGGGTTTTGTTGGTGTTGCACGCCCTCCAGGATGGGGTCTTGGGACTCCTCCTGAGCTTAGCTGGAGACATTGCATTAAATGGCGGCTGATCGATGTCAGTGGCGTTCGCGTTGTCAGTCTCTTTCAAAGTTGTCGGGTTGAGCATTTGGAGGTGTAGGTATCTCAGAATGTTTGCGATAGGCCAACACCAGGTTACCCCCCTCAGCCACTTTTTTCTCTTCGTTTCATTCTAACGCTTCAAAGACAATTAGATAAACTTTGTGTTTGTAAGATAGTGAAGCATCAATATCAACACTGATGTTTCTATCTCTTCACATCTGCAAAGTATAAGTGCTGCTACAAGACTGTGGAATCAAACCCAAACCTCATGCTTGCAGACGAGCAAATTGATGTGATAGGCAAATTTGTTTACACGGGCAGTTGTATAAGCTCTGGTGGACTGGCTGGAGATGAAATTACTTCTCGAATCGGGAAGGTCAAGGCACCTTTTGCCAACTTCTGACACACATACCGCCGTCATGACGTCACTTTGTGTCAAGGGTAGAGTTTACACTGCAGCATTTACACTGGTAAAATGGCGCAAAATCGCGCTTATGCATTCCAGCAATCACCTTCAGTGCGCAGCTTGCCCGATTCCCGTTCCCCTGGAGCGACGAACAATGCACACTGATTGACCCTGCCATTACTTCAAATAATTGCCTATAACTTCCACGCTCCTCTTTCTCCGGTAACCGAAATTGCATCAGATAGAACCAACGCACCATTGATACACAGTTTATAGCTGATAAACGAACTGACTGACTGAGACTTGGAGCTTTAGCAAGCCCACCCAGTGGGTTGGGTTCATTTGCATCTTATGTACGCCGCGAAATCTACGTTCCTGATTGGAGTTGTTTTCTCAACTTCAGTCTTTCTGCATCTGCAAGCTTGAACTCTCATGCCCGATATGGTGATTTTCTGAGAATTATTTCTAATGTCATCTGTGGTTTCGGAACTTCTGGATCCTGAGTTTGAACATTCAAAAATGTTCTTGGGGAGGCTCATAAATGACTGGTGAAGCTACAATTCAGCGGTCTTGGCGATAACCTGCGCACCCATAAGCGGAAGCTAAAGTCAGGTCTTCGACGATACTTCCACTACTCAGATCTAAAAATTAGAGCCAAAGCCCACGTATCAGTACATGAATCACCAAACGGTGATACTGCTAACAATATCTTGTTAAGAATCCAAACGACAACGCGGACTAAAACTGACGGCAAGAGCTGACCTTGAAGCTTGACTTAAGCGGGCTCGTAAGCCCGTAGTGGCCAGAAAACGCACCTCGTATGCATTTCCTGTCGCAGTCCTTAACTCATCCGAAGGCCACTGCTTGCGAATAATGGCATCTCTCAGATACGGAAATTAGCGTGCTCCATGGAACACATTCCAAATCGGAGCGTGAGGACTAATCACTACAGCGTGAACATCACACACTAAACAGCGTATACAAATAAAATAGATTTGAAGGGGAAATAACCTTCTGGTAATGACGGATATTTAAACCTGTAGCGTGGGAAGTCAAGAAGTCAGCGGTATTCGACTTCCGAGAGGAGGTAGCGACGGCGCACGTCGGTTCTGAAATGTGCAGATATAGAGATTGGTGTTACTGAATCCACACACAGCACACACAGCACATATTCGCACAGGTCGGGTGATACAGGAAGGAAGCCCGGAGCGTAGTAACAACACACGTGTATTCAACCGAAACCGAAACCGGACGTCGTGAGTACAAAGAAGAGTCAAGATCAATCTGATAGGTGTACAGGCAGGTTACTCTTTCCTGTCCGAGGCTCGTGGTGGCTCGTCTGTGTACCTGCAGTAGGAAGAGAGGCACCCATAAGGTCATATGTTGGACTTGAAGGCAGATACAGTCGAGTTTCAACTGCGTTACAAACCGCTCAGACGAATGCCGCGGTTTTGGCAATGCGGCGCGGCTGGGACGTAGATGAACATGAATGCCAAAATCCGATTCAAAAATATGCCGCTGTGATGATTCGTACCTTCATTTGGCTTCCATTATAACACTTCACATTTCGTCAATTGCATAATCGCGTTCGTCTGAATACGGAAAACTACAAAACCGCGCGCTTGTACAATTTCACACAGTGCAAACGCGGTCACGTGCTGCGACTCTCTCTTCTGATTTCGCTCGCGCTCGCAGCGGTCATTCGCGAGTCTAATGTGCTAACTCTGACATCAAAACATTTCGAACCATCTTCGGAAACTATTATATGTGGGAACTGTTCAGAAGAAGACTCCCGGACCACAACTGGACTATTGTTAATTCGCTGACCTGAGCCAACGACAAACTGTTTTAAAAAGAACAATTATTGGTGAGTCTGTTCCATGCGACCTCTTTATTATTGCACGCCCAATCTAGCGTTATTATTTTCATTTCTTTGCCACACACTCCCAGTAAAGTAACTTATTGGGTAGCCAGACCACTACACCACCGATCGTGGCTCTCCTCTAGCCAGCAGTTCACACACCTCTTACTAGTAGGTGATATTAAATCTCCCAAGACCTCCTAAATGGAACGCCAACGCGTCCTG